CCTTTACACTTGTCTTTTCTTACAGGAGCCAAAGACCCCCCTCCACGGCTTACTGAAATCATCAGGCCTCCTCAGCGGGCCCGTAGTCTGAAAATGTGGAGGCGAGTTTAAAACGAGGTCACAGTTGCCTACGCGAGACAATAGGACGGCAGCGCAATCAGATCACCGAAAGGAAAATAAATTAAGACTGTGCTTATTATACAACTACAAATATTATCTTAATTGGTGGATTTATGATAACTAGATTTCTAGATCTATACTCTAGTTCTAGTCTCATTTCTCACTCTAGATGCGGTAAAAGAGCTTCACTTCCCATTGGCAATTGGCACAGAAAATAATGAGAGAAAGAAGAAGAATAAAGAGAGCATTTTATAGCAATAGCACACATGAAACCCATGCTCTATGCGCTAAAAAATATACTCATTCCTATGCAAGCATGCAATAATTTATAGGCCTAACAGTATGTAGAAACATTGCCAAGTATGGGTAATACACACCTACACGTAAGCATGTATACAAACATAGAGACATAGATTGACACATTATGCGTTCACTAACATAACCGTGTAAATATTATGAAAAAGGTTTAACTTACATTGCTTATGAAGACAGCTTTAGGACTTTCTGTTTAGGTTCTTTCTCAGATGGTTGATTGGATACCTTATCTTAGAGAAATTATTTAGCAAAATATTGCTCATGACAAAGCAGTTGTGTTGTCTCATCTGAAAACCATAATATTGTGAGATGTCCATAAATATTTCACTAGGCCTATGTAGAAAAAGATGGAAGATAGAGGAAGAGAGAGAGAGAGAGGGAGAGAGAGAGAGGTGAAAATGGTAAAATGGTAAAGGTTTAACACCCCCTATCAACACTATTAGTATTAGGTTATTTAACAGGCAGGACCTCCTAGTTTAACGTCCGTTTCCGAAAGGACCGAGCCAATTGGGAAATTTGTATAAAGTGTCTTTCCCAAGGACACAACGTCGGACCGAGCTGAGGCTCAAACCCCCGAACTCGCAATCTCACGATTACGAGTCCGGTAGCCTAACCACTAGGCTAACTACGCCACCGAAGGGGGAGGGGGTGGGGGAGAAGGAATAGTGACAAAGAGAAGACGAAATCGTTTCTTTTTCTTTTTCCCCCTCAATGTTCAGATGAAACGAAATAATGTCTTTTACCAGTATCAAGTTGTATGGGGGTGATGATGCTGATGATGATGATGATGATGATGATGATGACGACGACGACGACGATGATGATGATGATGATGATGATGATGGTGATGATGATGATGATGGTGGTGGTGGTGGTGGTGGGCATGGACAGGAGTTTGATGTGGCTAGTGAGTCAGAGGATGATGTTCTGGGAAACAAAGCAGAAACGAGTGACGTGGATGAAGTGAGTAGAGGAGAAGGGGAGGAAGCTGAAAGTAGTGAAAGTGATAATGGTGTCGATCAGCTGGACGTGTTAGATCTACAACCTGTTGACATGGAAACGTTCCATATGCCACATGCAGCTGGGGAACCTGCATTGTCAGCAGACAGAGAAACGGGAATACCGTTGCACTATGCAGGCAAGGATGGGACGCTGTGGTCCAGGGTTGCCCTAGCACAAACGCGAAGACCATCTGTAAAGTTAAAGCCTCCGACTAGGCAGGTGATGAATCCATGAAACGTGTTTACAGTAGGCCCCGCTTACAAGCGTTTCATCACTGCCAAGATGATTGAAAGAATCGTCTTGCGCACCAAGGAAGAAGAAAAGGTTCAGGGTGAGAGGTGGAAAAAGTCAGACAGCAGTGGCGAAGCGTCAATATAATCAAATAATCACTGCTTCCCTTCCTAATTTTGAAACCTTGCCACAGTCAAATTCACCCATAGACGTAAACCTCATAAATTAAATGTGTAAAAAAGACGCTCAAAATCACCAATGAACAGTATGCCTAACATTCAAAACGGTTTCATTGTCACAGAAATAGCCTGTTCACCCCTACCGTGTCACGCCTTAAGCGGTCGCAAGCTTTGATTATGTAAGCTTACAGTGAGGCTGGAAGAGTCTACCAAAATTGTTGAAGGGAACATGTGTGCAACAGTCAAAACTGTTCCATTGCCACATATACCCTGTTATCTCTTTTGGGCCAACAGTTATGATCAATCACAAGCACTGATTATGTAAGCGAACTATTACACTGGTCGAGTCTACCTCACAGATGTGAGGGGAACTAACTCCTAATACTAGATCTATATTGACTGCTGCGAGTGCTTGTTTTTTTCCCTCGACTTTTTACCGTCCTATAATCAGATCGTGACCTCGATTATGACACCGGCTCCTGGCCGCGAAACGCTAGGCAAAAACAGCCAAATGTGAAATAAAAAATTAATAATTGTCATGTTCTACCGAAGAGTTTAGTCTCACTGGTATTGGTATTACATACTGTAGTACTGACTGACTTCTCTGCTTCTTTGCTTTGTGTTAGTGTATTCACATATCTAAAGATAAATTTAATGTTTGTTGAAATAAATATTTAATGAGATACTTTCCCGATTATTTTAGCGGTTGAACATGCATACAACAACATGAATCCA